GTACTGTATTTTGTGTCATATTTTTGTGGTTTTTTAAAAAAAATACATATGGTTCAGAATGGATTAACTATATTTACATTGAACCTTATGGAAAAATTTGTTCCGGCTCGTGACCATTTCGGGTCGCGACCAGAGTCGCAGAACGAATTAAGTTCGTGACCCGAGGTACCACTGTAATTTCAAATATTATAAACAACAAAGGGGATTTGATTCAAGGTACAAGAAATTCTCAGTGAGGAAACTGAATCTGAAATTTATCTACTATATTAATCTTAACATAACTTGAAATCTGATTATATTCGACTTACAGGAGCCCAATGAATAGCAAATTAATGGAGTAATTACCTTAAAGCAATCAAACAAATGGTCAAGCTGTTCAGGAGAGAAATCCCAGGCCAATTTTGCAAGAAGATCGTGTACATTTTTCACAATGGCTTCATGTTTTCCTGCCTTGAAAAGCAATGTTATTAACGTTGTTTTCAGTTATTTGTAGAAAAAGATACCACTTTTATAAGATGCAGGTTTCTATTATAACATTTCTGTCACAAAGTACCATTTTAAGATAAACTGATTAGAACTTGAAAAAATTCAAGGATTGGTATGGTATGGTAATGTACCTGATGCTTTACAAAGCTAACCTCAAGAGGCTACATTCTAAAATAAATAATCAGATGAAGAGGAAACAAAAGCATGAGGATATTTGATAATGCACAATTCCTTATATTATTAGTACTTCAGCTTGCACAAAATAATGCCATGCAACCTTTAAATGCCTGCAAGCTATACCTAACTTCTGGGAGAAAGCTGTAGTGTGCAATGTGATGTTAGAAAAGTAATGTGGCTTTATCACATAATATTAGGGAGATGCCTTGAATGCTTCCTGGAAAGTGTTTTGGAAAGCAGTTCAAGGCATAATGTAAGGCAAAGGAAGTGAGAATTGTTTCCAGGTTTATGAGACCTTTGGTTGAGAGTGATGAAGCTGAATGGACAAAGGTCATTGGAACAGATGTATTACAATAAAGGAGAAAGGAGAACAGAAAGATTGTTGTTAGAAGTTAGAAGTTCATGAAGGAGCTAAGACATATAATTAGAGATAGTACAGTGAGAAAAATTAATATTTGGAGAATGAACTGGATGGACATAAATTAATGAAAGTGAAACAGGTTTTAGTGAAAAGACTGCAATGCTAAAGATCAAAACATAAATTTTGCTTCAAATTCTTATGAACAGCTTCAGAGCAGCCCCATTTCAGTAGAAACAAAAGGTTTTGGCTAAAGCAAAATCTGGAGGGACCTCAGGGTGATTTTTATGGAGTGAATAGGGAAAAGGTATTGCCTGTGTTCCCCTCAGCAGCAACTAGAACAGCATATCCAACTGGCCTCCTCAATCCCCAATCTTCCCAGCACCTCCCCTCCCTCCTTCCTCTCAGCCACTATGGATTTACTGGCCTATGCACCTGTTCTCTACTGTAATTGTCCCAGCAGTAAGGAACATAATCCAAGGAACAGCATCTTCCGCAGGCTCTTCTGTCCCTGATCTTCCCAGAGCCTGCCCTCCTCTTCCTCTCCAAGCCACTGCCACTGTTCATTGCTTTTTTCTGCTCTTTCCACCCCCTAAATGAAGTGCTTCTGCCTAGAGCAACAATATTTTGGTCTGCATCTGGAGCAAAACATGCCAGAAACAAAAGAGTACACAACTGCCTCCTTCAAGACAATTGGAACTATCCCTTTTTTTCAAAGAAATCTTAATCATCTCTCAATCTAACCATACGCTCCACAAAGGACATCCTTTGTTCCTGTCTTTGCCTCCCAGAGTTTAATTAGACACATGGTGAAACTGCCTGCAAAATCCATGGAAAGAAATCCTCAAGTCATATGAAAATCAGATTCATAAAGCATCTAAATACAGTGCTGCTTAAAAGCCTGTGAATCCTTTTGAATTTTTGGATCATTTCCCTCAATAAATAAATGAACAAGTATGCTTTTGACTGATTTGTTTAATTGGGTTCTCTTTATCTAGTTCTAGGACTTCTGTGGAGAACAGATAATGTTTTAGGTCATATTTATGCAGAAATGTTGAAAATTCAAACGGGTTCACAAACTTGTAAGACTACTGTAGAGCACCCTAATCAGCCCCCATTCTTCAGAGGTAACAGGTGCCAATGAGTGGCATATTAGGAAGTGATCTGACCATGGAAAAGGAATGAACATGTCCTCAATCTTCAGATTACAAACTATCTGGTAGAAGTAATAACTAGATCCAACAAGTGGCCACACGCATGATGTTTTTACTAGGTCAGATCCAGGTTTGGGCATAGTTAACAAAGCCAATAATCAGTAGGATTAAAATATACAGGACTCTGGCCCTGTTTCAGTGGAATGCTAAGGCCAAAAGACAGAATCCATGAATCTAAACACAGAGGAAAAGAATAATTCCCAGGATAGAACACATAATGCCAAGGAAGATTATCTCCAGGAGGAGAAATTATCAAGAGGCACGGGAAAGAGTTAAATGACAAAAATAAGTGATTAACCCCTAAAATATAATAAGGAGAAATAATGCAATGAAAAGGCTGCAGAGAAGGAAGAAGAGGAGAGATGGATGGACCCAAATGTTGATTCTGAAGGAAGAAACTTTCTTGAATAGAGAATAAGGAGAGAGAAAAGTAAAGAGAGTATTGGGCAGTAAGAAAAGGCATTGGGATTCCTAAAATTGGTATGGATTGGGGATTTACAAAATATTTCAAATTCAAAATACCTGACTTCACATTTGAAACATTTCTTTCAAGTTTTAAACAGACATTTCCTGTTCCGGCATGGCTGATACAATCCATTTCAAACAACTGTTTTCAACTCAAACTGGGGCATATCAAATTCATATTTGAAAGGTTCTGCACATCTCTGGATAACATAATTTGATCACAATTTTTATCATATATCTTTGACTGTTAAATTGGACTTTTCTCTCAATATCTAAATTTTTTAATACCCAACATTTTAATTCTTGTATTTTTTTTTAAAACAGAATTCTATATCCAAAGGATGAACACATATGTATTATCTGCCTTTGTCAAGGAATGCCACAATCAACAACGGACCTTCTTCCTTAGTTCTAATATAGTGAAGCCTTGCTTGAATAGACTAATTGTAAGGGGGGGGGGGTGCCTGCTATTCCCAAATGCTCAAAATGTGTTATTTGTACCAATGTACATCAATTGGGTAATGATGTCATAACATTCAGATAAAATTAACACAAATTTAACTCATCCAGACTACTTTTGGAGGCAATAGAAATTTTCTTTGCTGCATTGAAAGTCTATAAAATGGGGGTCTGTTAAATTGTGGTGTTTCTGTACACATTAAACAATGAACAAGGTTTTATAATTTACACTTCAGTGTTGCAACCCAAAACTTCACAAACTCTACAACTTTTTAATGCTTAAATGCTGAATTTTGGAATCTTTAATTCCTAAAGCAAAATACTACAGGAGTACCTGGCAAGGTTTAACAGATCAGAATACCAGTTCAATCTAATACTGAACAATTTAAACTAGAACTATTACTAAAAATACTTGAAGTGTACAGTGGTACCTCGGGTTACGAACTTAATTCGTTCTGTGACTCTGGTCGCAGCCCGAA